TTTCCGCGTTATCGTCACGTTCCGGACGCGTTAACTTCAGCTCGAATAGACAAATCTCCGTGGTGCATTTCGACTGATTCTGGTCCAGAATGGGCGTTTAAGCGCAAAAACCACAAAAATTGCGTAAAATCGAGATACGACCTTGCGAGAGTGACCAGTGGATATTTGGTCTCGTAAATGACGGGGCTTGTTTTTAAAATAAAAGTTATTCACTCGCAGCCCTATCTTGGGATCGCACGTTTGTTTACTAATTGGAAATTATATATTGAAATCTTGAATTCTATTTTAGTTGGCTCCCCGATACGTTTAGGAATTTCCCCCTTTCTTATCCTCGACATACCGTACGCGCGTCCCATTTCGAGAGGCTCTCAGGGTACCTTCGGGCCGCGGCGGCGCCCCTTTGAGACATTTGTCCATTCGTGTTCTTTCACGTATCTGACACACTCTCTTCCTTTCTCTCACGCGACGTTGCTGGCCAATGTATATATCGTATATGTACAATATATATATATACATACATATATACGGGGTTCGGTCACCAAAGTTGTGACTACCTGCCGTCGCCTCTAATTGGCACGATTTATGTCCGCCGTGGATCGTGCATCTCTCGCCTTCGCGTTCGTGGCCAGCCGTCGACTCCACGCCCGTCGAAATTTCCGTCGATTCGTGCGAACCGGCGTCTCTCTCTCTCTCTCTGTGTGTATGTGTGTCGACGGAAGATCGCAACCACCTGTTGCGGGGCTCTTGCGGGAAGACGCTGCGTTCGTTTACGCGCTATCTCGTTGGACGCTCGTAGTTTCGTCTCGGAAGCTTCAGCGATAGCTCCGGAAAGCGCCTCGCCTTCCTGAACGAGGCGTTATCGGCGCGGTACAAGCAGTTAGGGGGATCGTTTCCGCGTTCCTTAATGGAGACTACGTGTTCGCATTACAGGATGGTGATCCACGCGATCCGAAAATAATTTCGCGATCGGTCGTGCGGAAATCCCGTTCGCGTGTGTACACGCAATCCGCCGATCGCGAGCCAACCGTCGCGCCGTCGTCGTCGCCGGCTAACGGCACCGATAACAGAGTATTCGATCGGTGGCTCTTCGATTAATAGTGCGTATTAACGGATTAATCGACGGGGATTCGTTACCACGGTGCCCGCGGCGGTGTCGGCATCGCGTGTCAGCGGCAGGCGCTTAATTAATGCGAAGGGGGGTCGACTTTGAATGCGGACCAACCAGTTTGATGCGGAGAAGCGGTAGCGATCGCGCAACAGCAACGGCAGTTAGGAGCGGCAGGTGCGCTGCCTCTCGCTCGGCGCCTAATCTGCATGAGCGGAATGCAGCCGATTTAAAGCTCCGGGTCTCCTCGTTGCGGTTGTCGTCGCCGGGACCATGCGGCAATTAAATCGTTTACGTCACGCGCACCGAGACCGGCCAGGGTTTCCTCGTCACTTGTACATCTTCCGCTACTCCTTCCACGTCGGACGCCAGTCGTAAGTGCGCTAGATTATAAAGGAGAGTAACGATCGCGTCGGACGAGCGCGTTATTGGGTGGAAAGTGATCGTTACGTCGCGCGCGATGGCTTGACGGAACATATCCGCTCTTGCTCCGCTTTGATTAATGCTAGGATTAAAGAAGAAAATGATGGTGAGAAATGGACGTTAATGCGTCGCGTATTCAATGATTGATCCCTAGACTATTACTGGCGAGTTATGGACGGGGAGAAAAAGCAGCAGGAGCTATGTAACACGTGTCCTTAAAATAGGGACAGCTAATGCTGTTGCTGCAAGTTAAACCTGGTCAACTCTGCTAGAGATGTATGATACTCAGCAAAATGTAACAACAAAATTTAACAGAAATTTCTCTATCTCATATTAGGAGCCTATTTCATAATAGGGGACTTTTCTCTATACAGCATAATATCTGTACCTGAGAGATCAACTGTCATAACCAACATTTATACAGAGAGCCGAAATTAACTTGCATTTCTATAAGTTGCTTTTTAAGATAATATTTTTATAATATTCTAAAGTTTGTTTGCAAACATTGCTTTGTAAGTAATAATAAAATTAATAATTTCCAGAATAATTGGAGCATTCAGATTAAGATATAATAAAATCTGAAAATCAATAATTTTGTAATCGCGACAATTTACTTCTCAGGTACAGATATAATACAGTCGATGCATACGTAAATGCACAAAGGTATACGGTGGGGCTAACTGCAACGCCCCTTCCAGGTATATAAGTTCTAAGGGTATTGGCCGCAAATGTCTACTGTCTTCCTTTTACACTTTCAAAGTGCGTCGCGCAGTCCATGCTATAGATCGACGATTGGCAGGCATCGTGTATCTCCGAAGGGTAGCGTAGAACATCACGCTGAGAAATAAAGGGACACTACGTGATTGGCCTCGTTTCACGATACGCCTAACCTGATGCTGGCCGAGCCAATTATCCTTTCTTCTTTTTTTTTAAGCAGTAGTATTCTTTTTTTGCGACAATCTTCCCCGTACTTGTGTATACACCCCTTTCCATACCCAAGAGCGACTCTCGCGTCGCGTTCCGCCGTCGTCGCCACGTTTCCGGCCGACCTTAATCGTGCATGCGTGTCGAGTGCCACGCGAAGGACTTGAGGACCTTAAGCTGGCATCGCGTGACTTTCGGGGTGGTGCATAGGATCGGTAATTTATTCCCGCCGGAGACCCTGTCCCGAGGTTCCGTGACGTGTCTCTCGGTCTATTTGTTTTCTTCCATAATTCGCCGCGCGCGGATGAACGACCGTCGCGAAAAGAGTCGGCGAAGATCGTGCCTCTGCGGACGCGCGGACATACAAGGTGCGTGGCGCCATGGGAATGAGTTAATTACTTCATACGCAACGCGGGTAGTGGCTGGTAATTATTTCGTGTAGCAGCAGATACCCGCAAGCAAACGTTGAGTGTTCGGGCGGCATGTAATCGCTAAATTACATCCGTATATCTCGCAGCATTTTTAATGAAGTTGATACATAAAAAATGGTTATTCTTATCCTGATTGAAAATAGTGGGAACATTATATTATGAGAATCTTATACTTACAATATTACACTTATCAAAAAAGATATATTTTTTAAAATACGTTTTGCCAAAATTTTAATTTTATATAGACAAGTCCTCTGTTATGAGATAGGATTCTAAACGGAGTTTCTGTTAAATTAATAGGCATCATCTGTTGGTTCCACCATGAATTTATTGCCCTTGGAGTGAAATCTGTTTAGTGGAAAATTCATTGTTAGATCGTGTAATCGTTGCGAGAAAAGATTTGTGATTGAATTAGAACGTTGAAAACCTGCTATCTTATATTAGAATCCTATCTCATAACAGAGGACTTTCTTTTAATAATGCCGAGGGTTACATTTATAACAATAGTGTCTCTTGGCGCATCTAAGATAGTAAAAATATATATTCTATATTTGATTTGCTTATTAGAAATATTGAAATAATTTTATTAAAATAAAAAACAGAATATGTTTTTCTTTTCCAAAGAATTTCTTCTGAAAATTTTATTTATTAAGTTATATTTGTGATAACTTTGCACGGCAGATCTGAAAATTATGTGAAATTATTTTACATAAAAGTGAAAATCTTTTTTCGTAATTGATAAATTTTTATAGAAGAAGAGACAGAAAACAACTAAAAATAAAGAGACATTAGTTTAAGAAATGTCACTTCAAAAAATTTTTTGAAAATTGGTGTTAAAAAGATAGTTTCTTCAGTCATCGTCAGATAGCAGCAGATACCGGTCAGTAATATATAGTACTAGACGCAACCACTTGAGGTCTCTGGCTGCGGTCAAACTGCTGCTACAAACGCTCCGAAGATTCTCCTTTTCTTTTCTTTTAATAAAAAAGGAGAAGAGAAACGCTTTGATGCATTCGTACAGCGGCAGCTTGACTGTAGCCTCTACTTCTTGTGTTTCTCGCTTTCATTCATGTTCTCAGGATTTGAGAGATAAAATTTAATAGCCACGTTTAGCAATAATTGCGCAGTCATTAAACATTGTTCGTACGTAGTTGATTGTTAGTTTTAAATTTAAATTAATCGCATATTATACGAAGACTTAATAATTTTTTACGCTAAACACGTTCGATAGTTTTGCTCTAGTAGTGTCCTAGACAAATGAAAAGATTTGTTTCTTTACAGTTGAACTAGCTATAGTAATTTTAAATCTATTCTTTTTCTTTCCACATTGAAAAGAGAATAATATACAGTCTTATTAGTATTGTACTTCTACATTCGAATGTAATAAATTTACATTAAGAATGAAAATTGACGACGACACTTTTAAATACCGCGCGCGACGCTTAGACGCTACAGAAGTTGGAAAATTTAAATTTCTCAGCGTTGACGCTCGAACTAACATGACGTCACAAAATCGTCTTGAGGCGCGTCAGATGACGCCCATGAAAAGGCGCCTTAAAGTCACTAGATATATATCTAGTGACTTTAGGCGCCTTAATTCTTTCTGCTCTGGCTGAATGTGATTGGCTCTCGGATCCGTTAGCTTAAAATACTACAAAATGGCAGCTGAACGATTTTCTGTACGTTGAATCTGTTGAATCATCGTCAGGGATGGGCATCATTCGCCATTTTGCCGTCTTCGCCGTACGTTGTTCGTCGTACATTTATCGGATTCATTAATACGCAATAGATTGTTTGGAGGAAACATTGAACACGACGGACGAAAATCGACGACACTCTCTCCAGGGACGGAACGTACGCATTGGTGTTATCCGTTGATGCGCGTAACAGTCGTCTCTGAAAGAGAAGCGTGGTTACGCGTAAGGTGTTGGAATAATCGTGTCGGGACATCTCCGTCTTCAGTGCGATGGTAATCCGAAAATATCTCGTGATAATATAAGTGTACAGATGAAATCGCTAGTTTCCCAATCGAGCAGATACTTCCGTAATAGCGTCTCAAGATCTTTCGACCAGATATTATTGTGCGACTAATCTGCGACATTTGCGTTTTGTTTCAGTGGCGGAAAGTTCATCACCGTCGGTGACAGAATCAGGTTGCCGGACGACGTAACAATGGGTTACATCATCGAGTACCTTCTAAAAAAGCAACTCACTGTGGTGGAGCAGTTCCACTCGCACTTGGAGCCGATGAAGTTCCTGAACAGGGATACCTTCCACGAGCAGGTAATTTCAATATGTTCCTTGCCTTTTACATTCTGTTTCGAGCAAGAGAATTTTATTACCTTTTGTGATAGTCTCTATGCTTGACTAAGCATTTGTTACATGATAGAATGTGATTTCGCAATGAATCTGTAGTTGACGCTGAGACGCGTTGCAGTGAATAATTTTTGTTCAACAAAATCTCTTCCATTTTATTATTGGCGCTAAAATAATCAAGTCTCAACGCTATAGTCCTTAAAATCTCTTAATTAAGAGGTTCAGTTTAATGTTCATACAGTATTACGTACGTATACAACGTAATTTGGATATCTATGAGCAGACATGATTTGCTACTGTAATGCGAGATAGATGCAATCAACATTAATGCCCGTGACATGTTCTGGGTGTGTAATGGTCGCGATAAATAGTATGATGATAAATAATGGAACGAGAATAGGATGATTTGAAGCCCACGATGATCCAGACCACGCGCGCACTGTCTCATTTCTTGAAACACAGTGGCTATTATTTAATTGTACAGTTTCCGTTTATTATCAGTTCGCAAGCTACTTCAGTAGAAGTAATTGCAAAATCTGTCGTCGATAGCACGAACTAAATTGGCCTGCGTACGTTACATTCTCTTTTGTATGGCATTTCATATATGGTACATGCGTGACACGTATACATAAGAGATGATAATAGACAAAAATAGAAGGCTTAATTTTGATACATTAATTTTAAAAATCCGATACAAAATTTTTATCAGAATTGTGTTATTACATCGGAATAAAAAAAATTTGTTTTCAAATATTTTGTACGTGCATCTCGATACAAGAAAATTATTTTAAAATTTTGGCTCGTGGTTCTTTGTGTTCGAGATGTGTTGTTATACATCAAGATCGAGTTACAGCGTGTATTACGAGTGATTGTAGCGTAAAGTAAAACGTTGGCACAAAAAGAATTGTCTTTCATCACCAGCATCTCTCTGTCTCGCTCGCATCTTCCCCTCTCTTTCTGCTCTCAGATTTCCCCAAATGTACGCAGAAACGATGTGTTAAAAGTAAACGATATTGCTTTTAACATCGTATCAGTTACATTATACAATTTCGGACAATTTTCTGTTTTCGAAAGAAAGTTTTCGTAATTTTCATTTAATTAAAGTATTCTTTTTGTGTTTTCCAGGTCTCTTTTAGTTATTCCAAAGGACCTAGAGACGAGTGGAATATCCTGAAAATTGATGGTTTCGATATGAAGGATGATCCAAAGAGGTAATACTGCCCTGAATTTTATTCTAGTTTCGTATACTCCAAATATTTTCATATTTCATGTTTGATCGATTCATACCATTAATTTGCATCAGTACTCACAATTTATGTACAAATATATAAATTTAAATTTTTTTTCTCTGCGACAGAAAGTTTTACCTGCATTAGAATTCTGTTTCTTTTTAAATTTCGTTACATACTCTTCCGTAAATTTCGGAATACTATATCTTGAAGCGATTAAGTTTTTGAAAAAAATGTTTAATACAATAGTTGTTGGGTTTAAAGAGAGCTATTTGATGGGTGGGGTCAGATTTTTTATACAGTACATAGAACGCATTTTATTCTAAATTATTTTGTATCATTACTGCGAACGAAGAATATCTTTTGAAACACGTGAAACCATGTTCGCCATACTCGCGGGTAATGGTTAAATAATTTGCTTTCTTCGTCGGTCTGTCTTAAATAATTTCATGTTTGCGCGAGCGAGTAAATGATCGTTTTGTGAAATGATGGCGCATCTCAGGTGTAGACATCTGCAATTTGTGTCCGCGTTAATGTACGTGCGCGAAATGCCTCATGATGTTTTCCCTGTAATTGGCACCGGTGAAAGACAGAAGGGAGATGAGTAATTATGAGGACGACATCGCGGCGTGTTCTCATAAGTTTTAATTGACTTTGTAATAATTGCGACTTTTGGAGCCCGTTTCTCTTCTCCTTGTCTTTCCTTATCTTTACCGAGCGAAAGAAACGACTTCTTTCCTGTTGACGCAAATGTTTTGTACCGCGATTAGCTATCAAGACTTTTTACTTAGTGAGGAATAAACGAAGTTTCGTCTGTGAATATTAATGAGAGACCTTGAAACCAGTCGTTATTAGTGACGTATACTGTTTCAGAGATATCTCATAAGATCTGTCTCATAAGAGGAGACTTTCTTCTATATTTTCTAAATATCTTTTATTAACTTCTTTTTATCTCGTCGTCTATTTCCTTATTATCTTTAATAACACGTGAATTAGGGGCTCTGTTCTTGATATTCTATAGATGTGAATATGCAAATAATCATTGTTAATAATTATATTTGAACATCTCTAGAACAATGTTCTTGATAATTATAAATGACACGTATACTCAACTTTTTCTTTGCAGTATTATGAATGGATCACATTATACGGTTTTTTTTTTCGAGAAATTTATACGTTCAATGAATATAATAAACACAAGTTTTTTAAAAGAGTAGAATGTTACGTGCAAAGTATAAATCAAGTCTGTAATTAAAGTAATTTGTATGATAGAGAGTTGAGAAGAATATTGGTACATAGGAAGCTCGTGCAGACAGTAGATGCGAAATACTCAGACAATTATTAGGAAGATTATTAACAGATTTAATGGAATGGAAACTTGTTAATAGAAATAAATATGTTTATAATATGAATATTATACGAATAATGAATAAATATTAATTTTTAACGAGATAAAGTTATATTATTATAATGTAATTGCAACGATATAGCTTTAATATAATTGGCAATTATTTTATGAATATAAACGTTTAAAATAATTACATAAATTACAAAATGTTATGTTCTTATTAAAAGTTTTTTTGCTTAAATTTATATAATTTATAGCACGTCAAGTATAAAAATTTCTATATTTACAATTAAATCTTAAAATATTGCAGTTAAGTTAATATGTTTTGCATTCTCGTTAACATGTATCTATATTTTTTTGTTTCAGATTTAAATCCATCCATTGTCATCTGTTCCCACGTGTTCCTTATTGCCCGCACAGGTGATGAAGATTGCACGACGAATGTATGAATAAAGAAAGTCGGAAAACACTGATCTCTCACTGTTAGGAAAAATAGAGAAGAAGATGTAAGAGGTAAAGAGAACGAGAAGTAGAATTTATTCTCAATTGCAGAATGGAAGAAACAGAAGATCAACGTATGGTAAGGAGCATAATAGTTAATAATAAGATATTTGGGGAAATGGGTAAAAATGATCATTTTGCTGTTAATTTTTTATAACTTCATATGGGTAAAAATGCAATTTCTGTTTGCTATATTATTGCGCATTCAAACATATAACATTTCATGCATATATTGACGCAATGACATTTATGTAATACATAAACGAGGCGTTCTTTAAAAGAATGAAATGTGTTTCATTTCACATTTGTTGTTCATTCTTTTTATTCCGTTTTAAATAACTTTATTTTGCTTGAATGGAAGTCGTGAGGCGTTCTTTAAAAGAATTAAATGTGTTTCATTTCACATTTGTTGTTCATTCTTTTTATTCCGTTTTCATATATTGAGGCAATGACATTTATGTAATACATAAACGAGTCGTGAGGCGTTCTTTAAAAGAATTAAATGTGTTTCATTTCACATTTGTTGTTCATTCTTTTTATTCCGTTTTAAATAACTTTATTTTGCTTGAATGGAAAGTTCAGCATAATTCACGATGCATATGATTTATTCGACAAAATATTAGCATCGTATCTTTATCTAAATTTATTAAAACATATATGGTCACAGGATACTGAAATAATTTTTTGATATTACAAGTAATTTTCTGGCATTCTATCTTAATATCTAATATAGACTTACATAAGCGAATTAATAGATATATTGGTAAAAATGCAGATGAGGGGAGGCCGCCCCGATGACCTTGACCTTGACATATGTTGTCAAGGTCGCCCTTCTGAGTGACCTTGAAGAGGTTTTAGCCGTCGCTCGTAGTTCGTTAAAAAGATATTTAAAAAACAATGTCGACCAATTCTATGTAATATATTTCTGGTAGACTAACAAATAAGACCTATTTACAGAACATATCTCCTATTAAGAAAGAGGAGATATATTGATCGCTCGTAGTTCGTTAAAAAGATATTTAAAAAACAATGTCGACCAATTCTATGTAATATATTTCTGGTAGACTAACAAATAAGACCTATTTACAGAACATATCTCCTATTAAGAAAGAGGAGATATATTGACAGAATGATCTGGGTTAGGGTTGGGTTTGGTTAGGTCGAAACGATGCGGCGGCGGACAATCTCTCAAAGCTTTGTAGCCATATATACATACGTAATATTTGTTGCATTTGCATTCGTGCGGTATGATGGTTCCGTCTTCGCCGCAAGCGTTACCACGTTCGGCGGGGAGTTCGATTCCGTCGTTTGCGCCGTCGATTTGTGCCGTCGCGTTTTTCTTGGCAACGGTGGAGCTAGTGGCGGTGAATATTTCGCTTTTCATATGACATGCTTTTCGATTTTTATTCTCACTAATGTTTTCTCTTTTGGTGTACTATGTAGTTCGCCTTCCTTTTTCCCACTCGGAGGAGAAAATTCTATACAACGCAGACAATTTGCAATGTACTCCCTTACTTTTTCCTTTAAACGCGTAAACCAATAAACTTTATTAATGTTGGAAATAACTTTATCGATCCCAACGTGACCAATGTCATCATGACATGTGCGTATCACGTTATTCTCCATTGACGAGGATACATAGAATAGGAGCTTTCTGTTCTTATCCTTCCGATAAACAAGGCCATTTCGCATCTCGTAAAACTTATTTTCAGAATTTTCTAATTC